TTTTCGGAGTACCCCTACATATTAGGTCTGGTCTAGTCTGACCTTACAGTGCCTTACAGTGCATAGCAGTAAATGGTATGAAAAGTGTCAGTAAATTCTCATTCATACACAACATTCCACTTAATAAAGAGATGTGACATAAGAGTTATACAACTTTTTAAATTAATTACCAAATCATACAAATCCTGGTTTCAAAATATAAATAATGAACGAAAGGATTAATTCGTTTCAAACTGTTATTAACAAAGAAGAAGCGAGAAATGTATTCAAAGAGAAGTTATTTCATATAAAATACAATTTATTATGATTTTGATAATTCATTTTATGTGAGCTGTCGTACCAATGAGTCCCAAAAGATTAAGTAATTTTCATAAAAGAAGTTAATATTTGGAGATCAGAGTTTCAAGTCTGCCATTGCCCTCAACTCTCTCTCTCTCTCTCTCTCTCTCTCTCTCTCATTAGTATTTAAAATAATTTATTCATCTGATGTGACGTGAATTGGAAAACATTTTCAAAAACAGACAAATCTTTGGTCTGAAACTCTCATTGAAAAATCTCTCTCTCTCTCTCTCTCTCTCTCGCTCTCTCTCGCTCTCTCTCTCTAACCTCTCACTCGTGAGTCCTGTGCTGACGGCTCCAACTCTCCAAATGCGTTAGTAATAGGCATGGGTTCGGACACCCCTCAGACCCCTCAGAGGCAAACTATTTAACTATTTTCCATCCATCAAACCTCAAGGACATGGATAGGTATGTCTCTCTTATAATGAAAGATACAGTACTTAAATTTTAGTGATACCTGTGCTCAACAGCCCAACCATTTGGTCATTTATATCACAGCAATTCCATAGCAAAAGCCTAAGTCATTGTTAACAGAATTTATTGATTTATTCTCTGAGACAACACCAACACTACTGCACCGTATGATTGATAAATGTTTGCCAAATATTTTAATTATTCTATCAGTCCTTGGGTTTTGTAAATTGAAAATTAAAATATTATTCAAAAATTCAAATCAATTTATTTCATGTAATTTATACGAAAGGAATTTATAAAAATATATAATATATTATTGAAATTAAGTTCAATATAAGGATTCTTTCTTCTAAAAAGTAATTATCGTTAAAAATTTGTTTAAAACAGACGTGAAATTAATGTGCGGAGAGAGAGAGAGAGAGAGAGAGAGAGAGAGAGAGAGCAAAGGGCCAAAAGCAGAGCCTTTTGTGAGTTGTTTCTCACTTAAGACTCGCATCTAAACTAACGAAATATGTAGTAATATAGACATTACGGGATGTAAGGCTCTAATCATCACAATACACGCCGCTATTCGCTACCCCTCCCAACCCCTCCAATATATAGCCGGCCCCTCAATAGCGCAAAACAAGACCACATCAGCACTACTCGAGTGCAGCACAGGATAGGCAGCAGAGGAGAGGCCACCATCAAAGATGATCTCTCTTTTTAGCCTTATATTCAACAGTCATTAAAGCCATGCATTTGGAGAATAAGTCATTTTCTAATAACAATATTATTATATAAGAAGATAACTATTTATTACAATCAGTTTGCGAGAGAAGGAAAATATTCACATTTAATGGTGTTTGCAGTCATTCAAGACATTCACAACTAAATCTCCAAATCATTAGAATAGAGACCAAATTGTTTTCGCAATAATAATCTCATATTTTTATAACTTATGCATAGTTTGCTCACTCCTTGTGTGGCAAACAATTACCGCTCATATCTGTTGCTTTCATTCAAATTATTTATTCACATAGTTTTTTGCAGACAAAGTGAGAGTTATTTTAAATATAATACCAAATAATAGTCGCCTTTCATTTGGTATAACATTATAAGAAAGAAAACGAAATTTTCAAATCAAATCATACGCTCTCTAACTGTTTTGAAGTAATAAGAAGTGATTTTTAATGGCTTTTTAAATTATATGTTTTCTATAATTACGTTGTGTTACGTAATTGTGTTGTATTTAGACTTTTATACGTGTATTGGGACTCACAATTCAATATCAAATTATATACACTTTTAGTTTATAATGACTTTATTAAAGAATTTTCACTCTTTCACTCAATTAGTGCCTCTTTCTCTCCCCCTCCCCCTCTCTATACTCTCCGTTTAATATCATTCACTTATGTTATACTTTAATCTCATTTTAATTGAGTTTTTTGAGACAAATTCTTGTTGTCGATGACTTAAAAGCGGAGTCAAAAATATAAATGACTTTACGATAAAAATATGTCTGATTGTAATGATTGGCTAAATGTTTCATAAGAGGGAGAAATAATTCTGGTCGATATCATCGCAAATATATTCCCCACAAAACTATTAGTAAAAAGTTTTTCTTATTTATTATATTTCGTAAAAAGATTACGAATAAAAAAATTCTGTTCATAAGAAGCAATTTTCGGCAACTTTTCGTTCAACTTATTAAAGGCGAGAATTTATTTTAATCGTTAGTTTCAAATACGAGACAAGTATTTGTTTTTAGTATCATTTCAATTGAGAATTACAAAACAGAGCGAAACTTTATTTTATGGAGTTTTGCGCTAAAACGGCGTTTTTTCGGTACAAACTTTTTCTCACAAAAAGTTTAGTTTATTTAGAAAATAGTTGTGAACTGAGAGGAGAGGAGCGAAATGTTAATGACTATAACACACAACTCAATACTTTAATAGTGTTCCCGACTCTGTATTTTACGCGTTGGCAAACAATTAGTAACTGTTTTCGTTAATACATCACTCAAACCACCCGTAGAGTAGGAATTGTGTTCTTAAGAGTCACAGATAGCACACGGGATGAGAGGGTATGAGAGAGAGAGAGAGAGAGAGAGAGAGAGGCACAGAAAAGTGCAAAATTATAGACAAAAGTGGTAGAAAATACTAATGATTACATTAACTCAAACTCTGGAAGTACTTTTCAATCCACACATAAGCGCAAGAAGTATTGCAAAAACTATACAACACTTTATGTTTTCCAAGAGTTAACTCTTGAGCCGCAAAAACGACTGACAATTATTACAATGATTTATATATTCAGATGATGTGTATAGAGACATTAAAAAGCGTTGGAAAACAAAGTGATCGCAAACCGTATGACTGGAGGCAATGTATTGGCAAAAACGGTATCTCTTTATTCTTAAGTATACTATAATTTTGTTGCTGAGAAAGATTTCTGTGGATTTTATTATGTTATTTGAATTTCTATTTGAATTTTGAGTTTTCTTTCATCCGATAATTTAGTGGTCAATAGTGTATCCGTCCGTCCATTTCAAGGCAATCGACTTGAACCTGTATTCTCTCAGCACTTATACCTAACAGTGCGCCCAACCAGTCGTCCGAAATCATTGATATTATAATAATTTTTTTGAGCTCAGAAAACATAATAAAGTAATTACAGTATAGGAGTTTTGCGGAGATCACAAACATGTCATAAGTAATTGTGTGCAAACTTTGAGAAGGAATTCATTATTATTTATTCAAAAAATTGTTTTTTAAAGCAAAAAATCTATTAATTAAGTGCTAAAGAAAATCAACTCCGAGTTCGGAGTCAATCCATCAATATATGAATTCTGCTTTCACTCCACAATTGCATTAAATCTGGAAATTATGTAATTATTATATAATTAATGAATGACTTAATTATCGATATATCGAGATATGAGTAAAGATATTATTTATTAAATTACTGTCCAATGAGTGGCTTATCCTTGGAGTTGAATATTCGCTCAGAATATTATCTCCTGCGGTCTGATTCACTAGTTTTGTGTTGTCTGTCATTCATAGCGATGCAGATATAAGTTACTGCAAATACAGTGTGTGTTGGTCCTGTGTTGGCCCACCCCACCCGCCAGCACAGGCAGCTTTTGGCCGCACCAGTTCTGCTCAATTATGGCCCAAACACCAGATATCCCTTCAGGCGCTCGTCATCAACACAATCACAGACTCTCGCACAAAACACATCTCTTGGGCTCAATTGAAGTCTCAAAAGTGGATCCACTGGTTATCAATCGGAGAGCACTTGTTTAGTATTTTTTAGGCACCATTTCTCTCTGAGAGTACTTCTCAATTTGGTTTACATCCAGATTCTCTCTCTCTCTCTCTCTCTCTCTCTCTCTCTCTCTCGATTCTGTTCTCAATCTTAGTATACATTTAAGTATTGTTTACTTAACATAATTGGGAATAAAACGTTTGATTGACTTAAACGGAGCTCTTTTCCACTTAATATTTGTTGAATTTAATAATCGACTCCTTGTCTGACATCTGAGATATGATTTCATTTGAATCACTCAAATACCGGTATTTTTTGCCATAAAATTTAACAAAATTGAAGTCAATATGTATTTATATATTAAAGCAATTAAAGCCTCAATGGTTCTTACAAAACAAGTGCTTTTAAGTCAATAAATAATATGAAATCTCTATTATTATAGATTAAAAGTTCTGATAAATTGGGAATTTATTCCAAAGATTTTCTCAAAGAATTTTAAATATAATTTTCACGACTTTTAAGGCAGGGATCGGATCCCAAATAGAGGATTATATATTTTTCATATAAATTTTGTTAAATCTTATGTAATAACTTATCTCAGAAATCAAATTTTAATATGTAATAACTGTTTAAAATATTGTTTCTAAATATTAGTCGTTTGAATAAAACATTTATAAAATAAGATATTAAAAATAACTTAAGTATCTTATTTATATAAATATTCTTTAAATTTTATTGTAAAATAAACTACAAATTCAAAATAGAGTGAGTTATAAATAATTTATTTTTTAATGTATTATTAATTATAGTATCAAATATACAATTTAGTATTTAATGAGTTAATAATTTAATTTATAAAATACTTAATCAATTTACATTACATTGTATAATAGATAATAAAATTTCAAATTACAACATTGCATATTATAAATGTCATCACAAATAGTCGTGAAATAAGTTAATACAATATTTTGCGAATAATTTCAAAAACAAAATTCATATCTCTATAGAAGTCAAAACAAAAGGCATTAAAATTGAAGCCAAAAATTTATGGACCGAAAGCAAAGTGAGAGGGAATTAAAATAAAATTCAAATTTTGTGACGAAAAGACTTTTTAGTTGTAGTTTTGGGCACAAAAAAAAGCGTACGAATCGTTGAGTTCGTTGTCGTTTCGGCGAAACTTTTTATTATAATTACATTATTTAGAGCCAAGAAGGAGATCACTACCAGGGAAGGCATAATAGCAGCAAAAAAACTATTATTATTAGCGAAGAATTTATTGTAAAATAAACTACAAATTCAAAATAGAGTGAGTTATAAATAATTTATTTTTTAATGTATTATTAATTATAGTATCAAATATACAATTTAGTATTTAATGAGTTAATAATTTAATTTATAAAACATTACTTAATCAATTTACATTACATTGTATGATAATAAAATTTCAAATTACAACATTGCATATTATAAATGTCATGACAAATAGTCGTGAAATAAGTTAATACAATATTTGCGAATAATTTCAATAACAAAATTCATATCTCTAAAGAAGTCAAAACAAAAGGCATTAAAATTGAAACCAAAAATTTATGGACCGAAAGCAAAGTGAGAGAGAATTAAAATAAAATTCAAATTTTGTGACGAAAAGACTTTTTAGTTGTAGTTTTGGGCACAAAAAAAATCGTTGAGTTCGTTGTCGTTTCGGCGAAACTTTTTATTATAATTACATTATTTAGAGCCAAGAAGGAGATCACTACCAGGGAAGGCATAATAGCAGCAAAAAAACTATTATTATTAGCGAAGAATCGCTGTTTGAATGTTAAGCCGTTCGCATGTTTTGCCTCTTTATTACACTCCAATCACAGCCCTATTCGCTAACTATTATTCTCTACTCTTATATCTCTTTCTCTCAAATTTTATTCTCTCTTTTGTTTTATGACTGCTTTTCGCTGTTTTCTATGACTCCTTCCCAACCAAACCAATTGATGGCATCGAGAGTGCAATAAATAATTGGAATATTTTCTACACTTAAGAGCCTTTCATCCATTGCTCGCAATATATTGTTTTCGGTTATGCTTTCAATCGCTGGCCTTTCAGTTACGTTGAGCTGTCATTAAAATAAAATTTTATTGTTTTTTCGCTTCTCCTCTAACTTTTTTCACTTCAATCGGGAATCTTGTGTTCATTTATCGTCTCAACTGTTTGTTGATCTGTTCGATGAGCCACTGATTCGGCAAAAAACACATAAATATTAGGATTTAGTATAAGAAGGAAGCGCTGAACAAAAGCCAATTACACTGCGTTTGGCTTCAGATATAATACTAATCATTAGTTTATGTAAAATAAGAGGAGGGGTTGGGATGCAATTGAAACGAAAGCCTCAATTGGATTATAAAAATTAAGTTTTATTAATAATTATAATTTTGAAATTTTCAAGCATTCAAGTGAGTGATCAGTTGTTGGGAAATGAGGTCCGAATGGAAACACGTTTTCTAATTAATAAAAAGTTTGGGCGAAAACTATTTCTGGTCAATAACTTCAATAGCTTTCTCTCATCTCATCTCAAATTAAGTCAATTAACTATAAAAATACTTTTATTCAAATGATTAATTCAATTTGGTTTGGGTTTCAAACAAATACATTAGTGATAGGAATGAAGGGACAAAAATAGCAGACTTTAAATCAAATTCTTCTATAATTATAATAATTTCATAAAACAAATGTTTGTATAATTTATTTCTTTTTTAAAAGCAAAAAAAACCAAAATAACGCCAAAACACAGGTTTTGCTGTTCGACGACTACTAATCAAAATTCGTGATTATATTCTGACTTAAACTTCACTTCTCATTGGATTTATTGCTTAACACAAACATAAAAGTAGAGAAAAGACTTCTCATTAAAAAAAGCTCATGACTTAAAGATTTCCCGATTTTTGATTTATGTCATTAAATATAGATATTTTGCTCACAATTCATGTCTGGCATCAGTTTCTCTCAAAGCAAAAGTTTTTTAAATATTAAAAACAACTTCAAGAGAAACAAAATATGTTTTTCTGATTTGTATTCATATAAAAAACGAGATCTTAAAGGAGAGAATTATTTGATTTCTTGTTTTCTTTATATAAATCTTATGTGAATCTCTCTCTCTCTCATTAGTATTTAAAATAATTTATTCATCTGATGTGACGTGAATTGGAAAACATTTTCAAAAACAGACAAATCTTTGGTCTGAAACTCTCATTGAAAAAAGTATAGAAATATCCGAAATTAAATAAATTTTCTATTTTTATGGGAAAAATGTACGAAAGACCCGAAGAGATCTCTGAATAATTTACAGATTAAGCCATTTATTGAATCGATTAATTGAATAAAAATATTCATTGAAATTAGTTTTCAATAAAATATCTAAAAATTTAATCAATTTTATTTGACGAAAGTTTGAAATATGATAGAAATTGCAATAAATATGCGAATATTTGTTAGCTTTCGATCAAAGGTCAGAATTAATCTTAAAATTAATGATATATTTGAATATTTTTCGCTAAAAATAAGAGTAAAATCTAAGGTATAATAAGTTGTATGACTTGGAAACATAACGTGAGAAATCAGTGGACTATAAAATAAAAAACAATAAAAATATTTAAAAACTAATTTCATAAATGATATGCCTTTTGGAAATGGCTCTAAACAGTGAAATATAGCCTTAAATTAAATGAAATTTATGAACACAACAAATCATTTCTCAAGTTTTGCTTGTTTTAGCAATTTTTACGTCTCAGTCGTCGAGTTATGATTGAAATATTAATATATTGTTTACAACAAAAAATAAAATTTAATAACTTTAAAATCGCCGTTTAATTGACAGAAAATAGTTAATTAAAAATATTTTATTATAAATCATAAAATAAGAATTATAGAAACTTATTAATAATATGACTTTTACTATCAAAAGGTATTGTATTGTATAATATATACTATGATTATGAATATATAAATGTAATGAATTAATGAGTATTTTTAACAAGAATTGACGTAAGGATTAATAACTTAAATGTAGTTCAATTCAACAATAATTATAGTATATTTTGGTCAAGTAATAGTTTTCAATAAATGTGTTAAAAATTCCTAACAGCTATTGATTTAAATAATAAGTGTATATAACTAATGGAAATGTAAAGACATTTCAACTCAATGTATGAATAAAACTAACGAATAATTCATGTGAAGAATAGGTAGGGAATGAGTGGAAACACGTAACTCATAATGAAATGCAGTATAAGTGCTGTAACTTATGTGTTGTGACATAAAGATCTTGGAGTTTGTGAATTTCAAATGCATTTTCTTATATATTATACGAAAATATTTTTTCAACACATGAATACAAACTGTGAGCTCAGGATTACGTGAATACAAATACAAAACAATAAATTGAAAAAATAATCAATGAATCGATGAAAAATTGTTTTCTAAAATGTCATAAAAATAAATATTATTCGCAATAATCATATATTATTCAAAATGAAAAACCATTTAAAGCATAAGAGTTTATCTTTAAAATCAAGAAAAAGATAAACGAAAACTTGAAAAATGAAATGATTTAATAAATCATTAAATTAATGGTTAAATTGGGAGCGAATTGAGACTTTAAATCAAATGCTGTAAGACTGAGAAGAGTCACACTCTTTAGTGCCATAAAACTAAACGAAGGATTAATTTCTCTGTTAATCACTTCGAGACGTGAAAAGCAATTTTTCATATGAAATAATGGCTACGAATGGCGTGTAATGCAAAAGTAATAATTAAAGCGGTTTAACAACTCAGACAATTAAAGCCATAGTTTTTGATTGACAGTAATAATCGTTAGGGAGAGACAAAAATTGTAATTTAAATTTACGCCAATCTTCACAGATATATATAATTTTCTTACGCATAGCTATTTAGATGCAAAGGCAATACATCTGCAAATTATACAAAAGTTATTAATGTATGAAAAATTGAGAGACAAAACAAACCATAATTAAGTTTATGCAAACGAAATGCATTCCGGAAATAGTATTTTTAAATAATTTTTAAATAATTTTTAATCATTTGCTTTGCTGTAACTTTTTAAACTTATAATTGCTGTTAATTTTGTTAATTCCTTTGCATTCATTCGTCTGAATGAATACTATTTAAATATTTTTTCTCAATAATTGCTTTTACTATGAAATGACTTAATAATCATAAGCAATAAAAACTGCATATCATTTGAATATTTAAAATAAGTCTCTCAACAAATACACACAAATATTTATACTTATCAAATGAAAATCACAAAAATTACTAAACCTTTTTTGATTCAAAATCATTCATTAAAAATTGTCGGATTTTAATAGAGATTGTAAACGGAATATATGAGAAATTCATGTAATTTGTGATCAACATACTAATGCGATTAACGAATAACAAAAAAGCAGTAACTAATGGATTAAATGTGAATTTGAATAACAAAACAATTAATTTTGTAAGTAATGATAAAAACAGGCACTTTCTGGTCAATATTCATCCACTAATAGTGCATATAATTGGATGAAAAGCGTAAAAATGTTCATTTAAAACAATAAATATATCAATAAAATTATGTTATATTATATTAATTTTATAATAATAATGCAATTATAAGAAGACGTGTAAATAAAAGGTAAGCCTAAGTGAGAGAGAAAACACACAAAAAGGTAATAAAAGTTTTATCGTTCGAGAGATTCGTGAAGTAATAAAAACTTTTTAAAAGTTTAGAAATAATAAAAAACAATAATAAAAACAATAAATAACTTGAAAATATCAAAAACAATTAAACGGAAAGCGAGTGAAAATTTGAGTGTTCAGATTGAGAGTACAATTGTGAGACACACCTGACTTGTATCGTATGAATTGGTGGTAATTATACGATCGGAATCACCAGAAAATATTCCAAACTTTTTCTTTTGCTCCTTAAAAGTCAAAACAAAAAAATTACATTAAATTAAATTTTCCAGTATTTTATTACAAGATATTTAATTGTTTTAATAAAAAGATAGTTATTTCTGGCAGAGAGAGAGATTGTTGTAAAATCTTATAAGAAAATAACGATATATCGTTTCCTTTTATTTGAAAATATATTTCCCTCACTATTTCTAAACAGGATTTCAGAATCAATGCAATTAAAATAAAGTACAGCATAAATAAGGTATTAATACCGGTAAGAAACGATTTTAGAGATAATTAAAGCTGGATTTTAAATCCCATTAATTATTTAAATGGATCGATACCTTAGTTGTGATCCTAAGTTTCATTCCGTCGTCAGAAATGGCAACTTTATGACAGTTATACCAGTCTTCAGACCAGTCAGACTCCCAGTTGTGAGATATCATACCCTTCTTGACTGCCATCAGCCGTTTGTCGGACAACATAATCAAAGCGTTTGGGCCGAGACTGACGTGGGTTATATAGTTATCCGTCGAATACTTCCCGTTTTCCATTTCCTTTAGAATTGTGTGGCCTTTCAATACAATTAAAATACCAAAACATTTACAGTTATATACAAATTCCCAGACAAAAATAGTATGAATGCCACACCTGAGGCGTAATGTCTGTTATATCGCCTTAGTTTGCCGTCGTGGTCGACATACCGGGGCGGACGCATCTGTTTGGCCTCTTGCTTGGGATCTACAGCTCGTTTTACGGCTTGCAGTGAACCCGAAGTGAAATCGATGAGTCCGGTAGTCGGCTGAGCAATGATACCCACAACGCCTTTACCCATCCCTTTGAACAGACCTAACAATCCACAGAAAACATTAAAAACTCGCTAAAAATAATACAGTAATCACTCGATCATACCTCCGATGCCATCTTCTTTGGCGCCTTCAATGGGTTGTGTTATAACTCCAGTCACTCCAGAGTAAAAACCTTTGAATAGATTTTTGCCGCTCTCTGCGAACCCAACCTTTCGGTTTAATCGCGAGCGACGTTCTCGTCTAAACTTGTCATCCATGGACAGCGCTGACACTCCTTCGCCTAATGTATTAGTAATGCTTCCGAGAGCACCGGCAGCTCCTCCGACAACATTCGACGCTAAAGACTTGACACCAATGCTTATACCCTCAGCGAATTCTCCCGGACCTTGAATTATGCCCTGAAATGGTTCGTAAAAGAAGTCACCGACGCCTTCAGTCAATCCGAGCGCTAGTTTCATAGGATTTCCAATCAAATCCAGTCCTAACACCAGAACATAAAACTGTTTGAGCACTTGAGTCGTGTAGTGTTTGGTCACAATTGAGATGAGCTCTGAATTCTCGAGTAATAGGTTTTTGCGCTCAAAATAGTCGAGTCTGAAGACAACGTCATTAAACTCTGTGAGCGTCACACCGGCCGACCGCACAAAGAAGTCGAGTCCGAGCGGCAACTGTCCGCCCGCAGCGCCGGCCATTGAGAAACTCAAGTGGACTTTGAGGGGAGAGAAGTGAATAAAATCGTAATAACTTTTACGCGACGACAGCAGCGATTCTGTGATTGTACTCATCTATTGACACAAACAACAATTATTCAGTGAAACAATTTTCATACGGCGTTTACCGCAAGAATATCTCTGATGTCTTTTGCAATCAATTTAGTGTTGTCTTCCTTTTTGACGGCCGCTTCAGTCAACTCCTGAATCGCTGACAACAATCCGCCGTCAATTTGAATGAGAAATTCTTGAATCAAAAACGAGTTGTATTTAAATCGATTAATTGTCGCCTGCCTTATGATAATTGTCGACAACTCTATGAAACTCTTAGGCGACTGATCAATAACAACGGATTTGGGGGGCGCTACCGGACACATAACGATCTCGAATATATGGTCCGGCATTTGGTTATCAATTTGTAGGCGATTCACTTTCATATGAAACTGTACGATGTGTTCGGACAGAGCAATGGACACCCATATGCCTCGGTTTGCCAGACGTCTACAGAAGCAAGTAAATTTAAATTAAATTAAAACATTTTTAATATCTAATCATTGCCTTAATTGTCCACTTTTAGGGGCAATCAGTTTGGGTGCTTCCGAGTCAGTGAAGTCTAATTGCATGGATTCACTCGAAACGATGGATACATTTAGTCCGGCATTTCTGGATTGAATAGCCGTCTGATATGAGCTCTCGATGGCATCGATTGACTTAACGGGAAGTGGTTTATAACGCTTTGAATCTTTTGATCGAATTTCCCACAAAACGGAACTGAAATTCATTAGAAAGTAAGCAAACAATGTTCACACAACCAATGTATCATTAAAAACCTGGTGATTGCTATGTAAAGGATCTCTTTATTAATATCATTGTTGACAACCGAAAGACCAATTCCTTTCATTATGAACTCAACATTCATTTTGGGTTTAGTTATCTCTCCCGCCTATAATTAATTTATGTTTAAAATTAGGGTTATTTTTAATGAATTCAAATACATTTAATCCACAGCTCACCTGAAGTGCATTCGTCGCTAATAAGTAGTCGTTTGTAAACAACAAAACTCTTTGTTTTCCGTCGAGGAATGAAACCACAAATACTTTTGTGTGAAGAATATCTTGAGAGACGTCTACTTCAAGCAATGTATCGCATTTCAAGTCAACCACCTGTTCATCGACTCTATCATTTGACTTCCAGACAAGTAGACGGACACCAGTAGGCAAAACCCATGTGTAGTGAACTGAATGGTTTGCCGGCAATGTATTCACGTGTTTCTGTTCACCAGTTTTTGATGACCAGACAGTCACTCCTTTTTGGCCAAACATGATGGGAGTGTTCAGTGCATTCACTAACATAACGGGCGCCGAACCATCAAAATAATCACTTATTTTGATGGTTGCGTCCCATTCGCTGATATCGATGTCAACGTAGAAGTACAGCCCATTGACCGCAACCAAAGTGGATGACGAGTCAGACAATGACAGAGGCTTTGGAATAAACAATTAGATCCAAGAAATTAGTTACAAAAAAGAGACTGAAATTGAATTACTTGTGAAGACGAAGATTTAGAGTCCAAACTCAAGAAAATCTGCTGATTTTTGGTTCGTTTGGGCCAAAAGGCATTGTTTGATAGGCTGTCAATTGGGAACCACTCGTCGTTGTCTTCAGACACTTCCAGAGCACTGGACGACACATTAATTATCGAGTAGAAGGGCGTTATTGTCACGATTTTACTCAAACCAATTCGCGACAGTTGTATGTCGACCGACACATAATAATTGAATTTTCCGTTCTTTGATTTGGCGATTATATTGCCTTTACTTCCGACCACATCGATGGAGAAGCCGTCAGAGAATCTCGAGTCACCGATAGAGAGACACAACTTCTTCTTACAGAAGAAACTCTTGGGTTTGAATGACAAGAGGACGGGAGTGATGACTGTCTGCGCGTGATATAAGACCGTCTCGTCGTCGATGCGATAAACCAATTGCTGAGACGTCCGGTTAATCATCCAAAAGGGCGCGTATAGAGAGACTATTAGGGATGAGTTCTCCACCGATAACTTAACGGCCAAATCAAGTGAAAGTGGTCTTTCATGCCCTGTGGTCACAAACTTCCATAAGTGGATATCACTTTCGGGGCCATATCCGGGTATCACTTTAAAACAACTCCAATCTCTTTCCAAATAATCATTTAGAGTCAGTTGAATGCCTAAAAACCAAATACAGTAATGTTTGCGATTAATAATTATATCTACAATAGATGTATCATAACATGAGTGCAGACCTGTCTCTCCGAGTCTAACAGAAGACAAATCTGCTTCTTGTCCGGACTCTAGAGGTAAGTTCTGATCGATTCCTTCGGTGGCATAACTTATACAATACGGCAATAGATTCTTAAGTTTGACGATTGGTATGAGTTTTATTTGATAGAAAACTGATTCGACATTCGATGCGTTGGTGTCTTCGAAGTGCACTTCTTTGTGATCACATTTGACTTTAACGAAGAACTTATTGCTGGCAATAATCTCGGACACCGACTCCAGAATCAAAGGCTGTTTAGACGGAGAATCACATAAAGGGAGACATAGTTTCGCAGAACTTCTTTTGTCGACTGAGTTTCGCCATTCAATTATCTTATCGCTAATCTTGTAATCAGCAGACGGTTTCACTTTAAGCTCACAATCTTCTCCTAATTTTCAATATATTTATCAAATATATTCTTAACACAAAAAAATAAAACAAATCAAATCATACCGTAAATGGCATCGAGTGGCAGTTCCAGAATAGAAAGTGGTTTAACGCGCCCTAAATGTAATGGTTGTTCTCCTTTAACACAATAAATATCGAGAAATGTATTAAATTGATTGACAATCTGTGCGTTTGATTTGAAGGTAATTGTTTTGGTGAAGGCATCCACATCTTGAACTTCAACAATCCATTTCCAGAACAGATTACTTGGATATGACTTTTTTGGCAAATTATAGCAGCTATCAAATATTAAATACCGTAATAAATTCATTAGTTAATCAATACAGTACAAACACTAATCAACTCAGAGATTTACCGTATGTTATTTCCGTGACATTTAATTTTACGAGTAATTTCATTTTCGCTGTCAATTTCAATACCAATATTAAGCTCTATTTCTTTGAGGTCTGTCGCGATTAGAGGTATCTCTTCCCCGGCTTTTATCACAAGCGTCTCGTTTTGGACAGCTTTAGCAATAGCTTTACTACTTTTATCAGTGCTTCGTTTCTTAACACTACTGTCCAGCAAAAATATACGCAAATTAAGGCCTAAATAGTTACGGACAATAACAATATTATCCTCGCGTGTAGGCAACTCTTTAGTGAGAGCGTTAGAAAACGCTTCATTCAATGAACTTAAAACAAATAATGAAGTTTTAGTTATAGTTAACTCCAACTGTTCACTAGATTCCAGTTTAACATCAATTTTGCCATTTTCTTCGAGTAAGACATTCACATTGAAATCCCATGGATTTGGTTTGCCTTTTGGTAAATTAGAAATTAGTTTCACTTCTCATTCATAGCTGTAAAACTATTTCATACCTTCAATGGGCTCTATAAGCGGTTCCCAAAAGAATTTATTTTCATTATAATAATCAGCGATTAGAGAGCAGTTGGCAGACAGGGATTTATAACCAGATAGTTTTCCACTGAAAATTGAATTCAATTTAACTAATGGCTGAGAGTCCAGACCTCCCGACTCGACGATAATGCTAACGGACTTCACATTGAGATAGAGTTGTTGTTTGGAAGAGATTACAGGCTTTTCGCTAATGGACTCAAATTCTTCAGTCGCTTCTTCGGCGACCGGTATATAACTCAAGAACCAACTCTTGATATCATTCGCTCGGAGTTTAAACAAATTCGAAGGATTTATCTTTCGTTCTTCACTCGAACCGTTTGTATCAGAACTCGAACCCACTTTTGACAATATATTGACCACAATGTTGACCATTGGGGGCGATATGAAGATCTGAATTTCACTTAAACTCACGTCAAGCATATGCACATCACCTGAATTACAAATTATTATGTAAATTTAGATAAATACTAACATATTTAATTCAAATAATTATTTTTAGAATTATTCAGATAAATAATTATTTTTATCAATAATACCATTGACTGATCCGTTGATTTTCAGGTTTGCCGGTCTCATAATATAAGCGTCGACATCATGGGCACTGAGATATCGGTCATAATTAGTTAAATGCATCGATATCTCTGAGACATCGCACGAGAGTTGAATGAAATCAGTTTTTTGCTTCAAATGTATGGCTGAATGACAGCTCAATATAATTGCCGACGCATTGGACATTTCAATAGATTCAAGTAAAACGACATTCACTTGAGATAAATTGAATTGCAATACATTCACCACTTCATCCTTAGTTCCAGTATTGGACAACTGTTTAGCTCTTTCTATAGCTTTAGACACATCTTTAATCATTTGACTCTCAATAGGTTTCTCTGCTTTTTTGCTTTGATTTTCATCGCTTTTGTCTGCATTCGTTTCAAAAGCTTTTGTAATCATTTGCGAGAGATTTAGTAAATAATCTAACGCTAGGATTAGTCTAAAGCCAGACATTGTTATGTGAATAAACCTTTCATTAGATTTCTGAATAAACTGCAACACAAACATAGAGTCCTTCTGTTCAGCACTACTCGTCGAAGCGATTTGCAAACTAAACAAATGAAAAAAATAATAATAAAAACAGATTCATAAATACAATGTTTGTTAAGACTAACTCTTTCTCTAATAGTGTCTTAATCCCGGATTCACTTCTTGAAGTCCTGACGTCATTCAGGGAGAGATCCCCAATGAGACACGTCGCCCATATGGAGGTGTCAGTCAATAGCTCCCCGTATATCTCAAAGCGGATCAACTGTGCCGTTGCGACCGCCGATTTGTCACTTCTCTCATTGCCTTCAAACAGTGTCACTAATATTTGGTTGAGTTTGAAGTCAAAGACAATACTCTTGAAAGCAATGACCGTTTTCTGTCCGTCCGACTCCTCCTTTTCCTCTTTAGGTTCAGAAGTTTCCCCAATTTTGGCCACACTTTCCTTCACGAAATTCAGAGCGTCGGCCATCATTTTCGACGATTCAATGGTCGCTATATTTCTTGGGACGGCTTTTAATGGCTTCGCGCCATCCGTGTCATCGGTCTCTTCCACTTCTTCTGAAGGACTTCCGAACGGCAGAGTCAGCAATAGATTCATTAAATTCTTCAATTGGGTGTCACTTATTTTCAACTCAATGTTTGGCAATTTTCCTGTAATTTAGATTTTCAATCCTGAAATTGATGCCAAGTTTATACAGAATATTAATCTCAAAATACCTTTCACTTTGAGTTTTGGCAAATGGGGATCATTGGGAACAATAGACCGACTAATTGTCACATTTAATTCCACGGGATATAAGAGATGTCTTGTGGTGGACAGAGATCATTGCCTTCAAACAGTGTCACTAATATTTGGTTGAGTTTGAAGTCAAAGACAATACTCTTGAAAGCAATGACCGTTTTCTGTCCGTCCGACTCCTCCTTTTCCTCTTTAGGTTCAGAAGTTTCCCCGATTTTGGCCACACTTTCCTTCACGAAATTCAGAGCGTCGGCCATCATTTTCGACGATTCAATGGTCGCTATATTTCTTGGGACGGCTTTTAATGGCTTCGCGCCATCCGTTTCATCGGTCTCTTCCACTTCTTCTGGACTTCCGAACGGGAGAGTCAGCAATAGATTCATTAAATTCTTCAATTGGGTGTCACTTATTTTCAACTCAATGTTTGGCAATTTTCCTGTAATTTAGATTTTGAATCCTGAAATTGATGCCAAGTTTATATTCTTATAATTAGAGTTTTATGGAAAGTGAAACTCAAAACCGTTTACCCCTAGTAACCCTTGTTATCTGGCTGATTAACAGTGTAAATTAAGGTGCCCTATATTCTCTACAGAACACCACCTGTCTCTCTTCAAGTCTTGTTGCCAGTGCTCGACATTACTCAGAATGACCTGAACTTCAGAGATTCGGCACTTATATGACTCGTACGCCATTTTCCGCATCTTATCCATTAAATCTTGATCTGAATGTCTGGCAATCAAATCCCGGACTTTTGGGATTTCAGTTCTCGGTATGAGTTGAGATGAAAGGTTAACGTGACCTGAATTTTGGGCATAAATTTCAAAAATAATTACCGTATCTGTAAAATTTTTAACATAATTTTAATCACAAACCCATAGATATCAGTAGAATATTCTCTGCATTCTCCAAGTGTCCCAATTGAGGTATTATCACAAATGAGGGCTCGATATCTATATTCAATTTAATTTGTTTGTGTTTTTCGATGGCGTACTCCAAACCAATTGCAGTTCTTTGGGACCAACTCTGGAATTTAAAGGCAGCGATTGATTGCAACTCTTCCAGAGCTATGTCTTTAGGCGGAGACAACATTTCGATGAGTGTATTGATAGTATTGGCGTCATATATGAGTTTAAAGCCAGACATTCGCATAATTACGCCTACAATCACACAAATAATTAAATCATAAATAATATTACGGATGAAATAAAACTTATTAAAAAGCATTCAAACCGTAGTCATATTGTCCGTCCAATGGGTTCATATCAAACTGCAAAGACAGCACTTCTTTTGTCGACTGTTCCTCCAGTAATGGTATTCCACCGACACCTGAGATATAGAGAGACTGGACGTGGGAGCTAAAGGCCAAGCACTGGGATGACGGCATATGCGTCAGGTTTAGGCCAACGTTTAATAGAGACAATTGACTTATTTTCACGTTATCATCGCTTATAGTTATGAACAGTTTCTCAATAATAAACTTAATCTTATGCGCAATGAAATCCTTTGGCAACTCTTGAGGCAAGTCTTCTTCATAACCAATCGCTTCATACAATCGTTGCTTCTCTTTGGTTGTCATCTCTTTCTTGAAGTCATCGACAATATTGTCTGAAAGTATAATCTAATGAATAAAAAGGAATGCAATCATTCCGTGTCAACCAAACCTTCGACAATATCCTTGTCCTTAGAGAACCAGCCCGAAAACCACCCCTTCTTTTTGGTGTCGTCTTTCTTATTCTTCAGGATCTGTTGGGTTTCCACTTCTGCCTGACTTCGGGCCAAAACTATTGTAAACAAATTCAAATCCTTCTCAAGCTTTTCGATCTCCACAATCAGTGAATCGCTATTTTTAGACAAAAGTTTTTGTTTATAGAGTTCTTGATATCTCTTCATTTTGAGTCTGTGCTCATATATGTTAATCCATCGCCAGTTCTTCGACTGTCGCTTCACATCCGTCTCCATAATGGCGTTGAAGGCAAAGCGCCACCAGTTCTTTGCATTTCCTATATTGTCATAAAAGTTTACATACCATTAGAACTAATATATTCTTTAAATTATTCCTCATTTCATACCTTTAATGGGAAGGTATGGCCTCCACTTGCGGTAGGGTTTGCCTAAATTCATGCGATCGATGGCATCCAACAGAAGTAGCAGTGATTCAAACTGCAATCGAGTCATTCGCAACTCAAACACATCCAAATCCATGGCAATGTCGAGCACCGGTATATTGTAGTCATCGTCTTCGGGCTTACGGTTATACTGCCGTAAGCTGCTCTTCAAATACCCTATATTCTACATAACGTTTAGTCCTCTCAATAGTGCCCAACGCTAGGCTAGGAATTCATAAAGTAGTTATGAAACCAGTAGGTAAAACCTGTTCTTCATTGCCTTCAGATGAAACAAATGTTAATTACTTGTCAAATGACTTAACTATTCACACCTTATTCATAGTGCAGTTCCAATAGAAGGACAGGCCCTCCAGAGTAACCAATTTGTAGATAATGTTATCATTGCTGTCTTTAGCGGACTTCCCGTCGTTTTGTGTCTCGAAAACGAGTTTATGTAAAGTGAGTCCCACTTGGAAGGGGTTCTGAGGCCATGAGATACTGTCCTCATAGCAGATGTGGACGTTTGTGATGAACACCTGAAGATTCTTCACGATCTGTGCCGCGAATTTCGTGGCAAAGCTGTCGTCTGTCTTCTTTTTATCGGCGCCTAAGAGGACAACAAACATATCTTCAGACAAACTGTGAAACACTATTGTTTACTTAATGAGCAGAGAAACCTAGAGACAAAGCGCAGAAGATAAAAGAGGTTAACAAAAACAAACAGTAAGGTAACCTAGTCGAGAAGCAAGTACAGTAGCATCAACCGGAGATCTCACTGTACAGATAATGAAGACAATGAGCACATCTATGGACGCAAACACATGTCTGTGAGCACTGACCGGAGTTGGGAACGGCCACCACATACACGTCCGACAGTCGGATGACAACCGGCGAGGAATACAAGGACTTCCAGGGAATGGATGCCTCGATGCGCGAGATGTGGCCGTGAATGACACGGAATGGTAGGGACAGGGAGTCGAAGGCATTGGCTTTGACGGCGATGTTGTCGAGGGATATGTTACCACTCCATGCAAACAGATTCAGCTGTTTGGCCGTCAACTCGTCCACGAATTGAGACAAATATTTGTTCAACAGATTCGCCACAAGACTCTCAAACACCATCTCTGGTCGCTATGACTGGTGATCAGTGAGTGACAGGCGGTGGTCTGATTGTGTGATTGTTTGTGTGATCACCGGATTGTTAACCAATTGATCAGATTATGAACAATACTTCAATTGACGCCCAAATGTGATGTCATTTAAGGCTTGTTTGCCATTTCACTGATAGTTATTGTTTTTACACAATAAATACCGTTTGTAATGTTTGTTATTACTCAAAAAGTTCATAATAAAAATACTATGAAAATAATCGCAAATACAGTAGTATAGACTATATTACAATACATTAAGTGTTGTGAAAACGACATGTGGTGTGAACTGAACACACGTTTAGCCGTACATTACATAGACATGTGTTTCAACACAAACATTGCAATTGGGATAACATTATGTAATGCATTCAATCATTCAATGCATGACTCGGTGTCTCACGAATGTGTGTGCAATGCATTCAGTCATTGGTTCACAAACTCATTGCTGTGAGATCTGTGAGATGTTAGGTTAGGTTAGGTTTGCATAGACTCTCTCAAACCTAACCTAACATCCTATTCAATACATTAACATTGGTTGCAGAATAGATAAACAATAAAGCAGGCATACATAATGTAACCTAGGATATTCTTTATTATATTATTTACCGGTAGTCATGAATAAATATAATTATTTTTAATATAACTAATTTATCTATTGCTTTTAGATTTAAGTTATATTATGGTTTACGTATTTAATTATTGTCATTAGAAATTTATTAGAAATATCTCAACTTATTATACCGTATAACTTATATTATAATTTATAAATAATTTTATAATCCAAAAATATAAATTCCATGCATTTAAAAAATACTTTATTTTTATAAATTATATTTATTTATTACAAATGGTAATTTCCGCAATATTTTATCATAAAATTTTAATGTTTTGATCGGAAATACAAATATTCTGTTTCTGTAAAAGGAAATTATAGTATAATATACATATTATGAAAGTATCAATATATAAACTATGAATTGAGTTAAAAATATAATGTTTTTACTATGTCATGACTTGAAGGGTCGTTATAAAGTGTTTTTATATAACTATAAGTCATAATTAGTATTTTAGTCCCTTTTGTGGTTTGTAAAAGCGTTTACTGAAATTCTAAGACATATATTAATACCTATGAAACATGGTAATTATTGTGTTCAATATGAGTCCATATAAAAATATCAAAAATATACTTCAGTATCAGGTATAAAGTGCTAAATCGCACCAAGTACAGTACAGCAAAATATTTATATAATAACTCTGAGATTTTGGCCTAATTTCATATAAAGTATAAAAATAATAATCTGTAAATAAATATTCTTAATTCTCTTTACAAATAATGTATAAAAATCTATGCATTTTAACTAATTTGTTATATTGCCTCTAAAAACTAATTGATTGAATCAAAAATGTTTTGTATATCACTTTTATAATAAGATATAACATTATTCCTCTTAAGCTTAAACGCAGCGGTGATTAAATTATTATCGGCCGTCCATTCCTCGGGACATAACTTTATTTTGACGGGTGTTTCCACTCGTTTCAAACCATTCAATTGAGCGCTTTCTCGGATACTTTCCAACACTTTATCACAAACAGAGGAATCGCTGCATAACTGTTCCCTTTCATAACTGTCAGGTTTTCCTAATTCTTTGCCTAAACTTAATAGTGATTTATTGTTAGGAGTGACTAAAGCGATCACACAATTGGCTTCACTATTGGGCACAACACAGATATTCTCCACTAATTTGCTTGATTTGAGGGCCGCTTCGATCTATGGGTTCAACAAAACATAATAATTATTCATTCATTCATTCAAAAAATAGATAATGACTGATAATATTGCATATTTGAGATAAAATTGGAAACCTTTGTAACAGGTTCAATAAACAATGTATAAATATTATCAAGTCATGTGAATATTACTGTATTATAGTGAACACAATTTCTATAGAGAACTCACTTTTCCCAATGAGATGTACTCCCCATTCGATAGTTTAGTTAAGTCTTTCTTTCTGTCGATTATGCGAACGGATCCGTCGGGCAACACCTCAGCGATGTCTCCCGTGTAGAACCACCGAAGACCCTCCTTATCCGTAATAAATGATTCGGTGGTTAATTCCGGTGCCTTATAATAGCCGACTCCCACCAGATCGCTGCCGATTACTAACTCCCCCCGAGGGTATGGTTTATCGTTTGTTAAATACCCACCCTCTGACCAGTCGACTAACTTTGCATTAACTCCTGACAGAGGTATGCCAATTGTATTATATGTCAGATCATCCCGGTGCATTGCCACCACACCACCACATGTCTCAGTCGCGCCATAACCTAAAACATATTTATATACCGTATTAAACAAATAAATAAAAGTAAAATTGCAGTCAAAAATCAAACCCTGAGTTATTTGTTTGCAATTAAGTGCCGCTTTGAGTATAGCCTGTGTCCTGGGGTTAAGGGCGGCGCCGCCCACCATAATGTACTCTAGTTTGCCACCAACGGCTTCGGCAATCTTTTGACACATCAATTTGTTGATAATGGGTGTGTCATAACCCCTATTCTTCCACCGAATCTTATATTCCATCAAATATGTAAAAAGTGGTGCAGATATCGAAGTCCTTGCGTTCAGTTTTTCATAGATCTCCTTCAAAATTCGGTCCAAAACCAGTGGAACTGCTGTCATAGTTGTCGGCTGAAGGAGTTTTGCATCTCCTGACTGTCCTTTTGCCAGACCTGGCGATGAGTCCGTTAATGTAAATGGGGAACTGTAGCCAATTTTAACACCACCTTTAAAAGCAATAAATTGTATTTCTAATTTCTTTTCCTAGTTACTATTAAATGTCTATTACGGTAATATAAAAACTAACCAAAAAGTAAAAACATTTCAAAAGTAAATCCCAATATATGGGCCAACGGAAGGTAAGACATATACGTGTGATTATCCACTTGCTCTGACATATCATTTGTAGTATTGCTCAGAAGTACTCTAAGACTTCCCATCAATGACTTGTGTGATATACAGACCGCTTTTGGATTACCAGTTGTTCCGGAGGTATACATAATAACTGCCGTTTTATTAGTATCTTGAGGTAAATCATAATCGAGAAAACTCTTATCTTTTGCACCCAATTCCTCCAACTCTTCAAATGATTTGATAGAAATATTATCATCAAAACTATCAATCGTTTGATCGCTCATATTCTTTATATAGACAACTGACTTAAGATTCGGCACTTCGTGCAGAAAACTCTTCAATTTTGGCAATAAATCAAATGTCGTTACTATGGTTTTGGCTTCGGTTTGGTTTATGCCATATATTAGACCAGAAGTTCCTTTTGGTTTAAAATACAAGTAATTTATATTAGAATATAATGTGATTTTAAACTAATCCGATCCATCGATTAGATTTGGATCACAATTATTACCTAATGTGGAGAAAAGTGTGGCCAAAGTTGCGTTCACTTTCATGAGCGCTAAGGCACACAATGTCCACTCGAGTCGAGTGTCCGCCCAAATGATCACTTTATCCCCTTTCTTGACACCAAATTTGACTAATCCTTTGGCGATATTATCCACTCTTTCGATCATATCAGACAGTGTTAACCACTTATAACTGTCGCTTAACACGAATTTTCGTAAAACTTTTCCGTCGATTTTGATATCATTTCCTAAGATTTGACAAAATGGAACTTGCTAACATTTTAAATTAAGTTTATAGTTTTGACAATAAATACCATTAATATCTTTTTCGACGGTCTCTCGTAGGACATCCCTCTTGCCTAACATAATACGATTGGATTCGTAATTATTCTTCAAATTCTTCAACACTTCCGCATAAGAGTTGTACTGAAGGAAGACGTGATCGGGTGAGGGCTCACTCCGAGTCCACACCAGCTCACCATTGATTGTCTCATACTTTCTGGTCCTCAACCTCCTGGCCTCCGCCAATGTCCTCCACGGCTTTTGGATCACATAATACATCGGAAGTGTTGTCACCGTATATGTGTTGACAATGAGACGGGTTTTCAACATAAATAGATTGACTAAAAGTTTTGACATTTTTGCTCTTTCTTTGGAAAAATTTTTTTGGTCACAAAATTAAAAATTAATTTTAATTTTTGAACATATTTTGCTAATCGATGCTCTTATAGTGCATTCAAACACTTTAATTATATAAATGAATATATCTTATGTAAAGTAAAAGTATGTTTTAAAAACAGTATGTATTTTAAGTCCAAAACTTGTTTCGAGATTAAAAGGAGTGTATTATTTATCAGCACTTTTTCAACTGATCAGTACGTTTGAGTACTATTTGATGTTTTAATCAAATATTAATAATAATAATATTTCGATAAAAATAATATTATATATATTTTTGTCTTCTTATGCTATTTGTGTCAAAAGTTTTTCACAATTTATAATACACTGGAAATACATATAAATTTGTGTCAATTATGTTGAATTGGACTCAAGTAGTAGTGCATAAGCCATACATTATTCACAGTATTGTCGGTACAATAGTACTATTAGTATATTAATTGATTGGTTATTTAAAATCACATTTATGTGTAAATATTGTTTATGAATTTAATTAATATATATTAAACTTTATTTATAATTAAAAATAATGCATAAATTCTCACTTTGTGTGTAAAAACCTGATGAATCAAATGTAGTATTCATTGAATTCAAAGCTGGTTTTGATTACAAATTACATTTAATTTGGAAATAGAAATTCACTTTTGATCACTCATTCAAAAATTTAATGATAAGATTAGTGATAAATAATTATAAACAGGACTTTTAACACATGATTTCACAAAATATTTGTCATTATAAGTAATTATATTGGAAATACATTTGTTGAATATAATTAACATGCTAATTATATTCCGCTCACTTTAATGACTGAATGAATATACACATAATTATAAGCCAAACACCAAATGTATTAATAGTGTGTTTCAGTCACTCAATAAACAACATAACAATCGATTCAATAGTTTTCACAACTAATATTAAATACAAACAAATGATTTGTGTTTTGGTGTTTTGAGTTTCACTTTTCCCATTCACTTAACGTTATTCTCTCTATTATTTAGCGGTTTATACGAGTTGTTAGAGTATGGCATAGCATAGACACCCAGAAACGCCAGTCCCTTTAAATAATACACAGCCTTTTCAATGAGAATAATGTTATAATGTCGTAAAAGTGTGTTTTGTATTTAAATTCAATGAACAACACATGAAAAGTATGTAAAACTTATAATAAAATTACTTATAAATTATTAGAACAGGAATTTTCTGTCGAGGATATAATCATTGATAAGTATGAAGTTTATTATAATTATACACTACTGTAGAGTAAAAACTTTTTCTTATTAAAGTTATTGAAGTTGACGTTAAAAATCAAGTTTGCATTTCATGAATGTAAATATCAATTAACAACTATTTTTCTTAATGATTACCAATTATTTTGAAGAATTTTCACTTCACTTTGAAAACTTTATTTGAGATTTTTAGCAATACACTTAAATTACATTAACGTTGAAAGACATTTTAATTTTATATACAATTAAAATATTTTTAGAGGAAAATTTAGCCTAAAGTTAGTGAATAGGAATATGCAATAAAAAAATTGTAACACTTTTCTCATTAAATATATACACAAATCATAAAACTTTTTGTTGCTGTTGTAATATTTATCATTAAATTGCTATAAAGTTTATTGACATAAAAAGTTTTAAACAATTTAGTGAATTTCCTTCACTCATTTAATTGATTTTTTGGGAATATTTGATAACATTTTGTATACAATAAAACAGTTAATGTTTCTAAACAATAATAATGATTATTTATTTTAAAAAAAAATAAAAAATTTATATCAAATATTTTCCTCAATTGTGTGAAACCAAAACGACTCATTCAATGAGTTTTTGATTTATGAACTTATTTTCCTGTTCTACCAATTAGTGTATGTTTTCAATCAATTCCTAATTAATTAAAATATTTATATCTCAAGGATTTTTCATATCAATAGCATCATATTTTTAGTACCTGAATTTTATTTCAAACTTTCACATTTTTTATTATACACTATGAAAAACTTTTACAATTTTGAGACATTGATTTATGAGATGAAGACATTCCCGGATTTTGATTCATTACAAATGTATAAGAATTTTCTCATATAATTCCAATGTATTTGCGATGAGTTTTCCCTTTAAATAAACAAAAAGCTTATCGCAAACAATGTCTACAAATAGTTTCCTTTCTATTATTAGCTTTTAATTAAATTTGTCTGAAACTGATAAAACTTATCGGTTATGACTTTGACATTGATTCCCATAAGTTATAACTTATTCGATAAGTTATGGCATAATGTTATACATGTTGAGACATAAAATGGTGTGCTTAGTCCATTAGAAAACTAAGAATGTTAAGTCAATATGTACATAAAGACCAACTTTCCCACAGCTTTGGTCAAAATTACGGTAGTCACAAATTTCAGTTTATCAAATACCCGGCTGTAACCACGTGTCTCGCTTTGTTAAAATATTGTTTTTGGAAAATTTTATTTAAATGAAACATCATTCATAATTTTAAGATCAATTTATTAATTCATTAATTAAATCCTAAAAGCATTTAATTAATTAGGCTAATATTGTGGCTAACATTGAGATTAATTTTACAATAAATTCAAGAAAATAAAATCCACATAATCTTAATATACGGTATAAACGAAAAAATACTTAACCGATCGTTATAACAGATCAAACACACAATTATTTTGCGTATATATATATATTTACGGTATTTTATGAAACCGTCTGTAAAACAAATCATAAAAATAATTATCATTTAAATTTATTGCCCAAAAATATATGGTTCCCTAAAGTTCTCTAATAAAGACTCAATTGATTGTCGCAAACAATTCACGCATTACTGGTTGCGGCCAAAGCCTCAGTCCTCTCCTCAACCAACTCATCGCCGGTCACTTTGAGGCGCTGTTTGGCGATGTCGTCGAGCGGAACGCTGTCCACAATCTTCCACTGTTTGGTCGCAGAGTCGACGGTCACCGG